ATATATATTATAGCTGAATTATTTACACACATCATTAATGTGCAGAATATTATTGACTAATGACATAAAATAAATTCATCAAAACACATTGAGATAAATATCCTGAAATTTTCAGATAATGTTTGAGCAATAAAGATATATTTACATTTACAAATAATAATTTATCATTTTTATATTATAAAGTCAAAAATATAAAGTTTTGAATATTAAATGAAAATTAAAAATTTTGTAAACAATATTCATGATCAGCTAATGATTATCGAAACATTTGAAAATAAACATGCTCATGTATCAAATATACATGATCTCTACCAGTCTAAATAATGAAAACAAAACTGCATTGATATCTTATTTTAACTAAATTTCAAAATTGTTTAAAAGCGGTATTATTTTTACACGCAATGTTCTTGTGCAGAATATTATTAATGCACAGTATGTATAATATTTTTTAAAATTCTATTTTTTATTCTCAAAAAAAAATATCTAGAAATAATCTAAAAAATAGATAATATGCGTTTGTTTATAAACACAAATATGTTTATTATTCGCATATTATAATGGGCGTCAAATAATTACTTTTCTTGCTTAGCATTCATGTTAGAAACTTGGTGTTTTGAAATTGGTAAAGAAAAAGAATTAGAAATTAACTAAAGCCGACTCAATTTCGGGTTTACGACTGCAAATGTACCCAATCTAGAAGACGAGGGAACTCCTGGATCAATTATGGGGAGAAATTTGCCTCCATGAAGGACTTTGTGATGGAAAAAGCCGGAATTTGTTAAATGGAGAGAAAACTACGGAAACCTCCCATGATTAGCATGACGACAACTGGACTTTAACCTATGATCCATTTTCCACTGAGGATATCTTTGGTCAGCACTGTGGTCGGTGCGAGACGGGTGCGGAGTTTGTATTGACCAGCCATCGCCGGGATTCGAACACAGTTCACCTAAACGGAAGGTGAGCGCTCTATCCCCTGAGTCACAACGGCTCAAGCAATTTTACTATGGAACGAAAGCCTACCTTAAACTCTATAGGCAATAATAAGCAAATCACAATTCACAGTAAAACTCTGTTTTGCGAACTGCCCCTAATTAAAAATTTAAAAAAATAAGACAAATGCCTAAAGGCGTATCCAAAATTACTAGTATTCACTTAATTTTATTTTCATACTTTTTCGAAAAAAAAAATCCTCGCAGAGCAAAATAATGTAGGAACAAACTTTAAGTCATATGTACAATAAAATAGGATGATTGATTAGGAACTTTTAAAGAAATAATTTATCTTTTTTTTTTNTTTTTTTTTTTTTTTTTTTTTTTTTTTTTTTTTTTTTTTTTTTTTTTTATAAAATGACAGCACTAAAATAAATTTTATAATTTCTTTTTATGATTTTTGGTTTTCAGAAGAAGAAAAAAAACATGAAAAGTAATATTTTAGGGGGGGATTCCATCAAGTCATTTCCCGCATTTTTGAAAAAAAAAAAAAGGAACCGGTTGTTATCAGTACATATTGTTATGAAGTACGCTGAGTCCCCCCCCCCTTATTGAAACGTCATACGTTTGGGTACAACTGACCAATAGCATGTGGATATTTTATTAGCACGCTGAACGAATTCTTACTCCTAACCGTGTACTCATTGACCATTGCCAATTTTTTCCTACTCACGTTACATGCTGTTTTGCGTTAATTTCAACGTTACACGTGCTAAATCTAATTTTGGTAAGCTTCTTTATTATATATTTTGCAGTAATTATTTTATTTGAAATTAATTATCATTTGTATTTGTACACACAGTTCATTAATTCTTTGCTGAATCTAATTTCTATAATCTTAGTTATTATTATATATGTTACAGTATTCTAATTTTTTATTCTTTTAGAATTTTTCTTTAAATATAATTTATCATTTGTTATTGCCAATTACTGCTATAAAAAATTACGGTTAAATATAGTTTGAATAACCTTTTTCTATTTTTTGAATACAATATGTTACAATATTCCTTTTTTTTTAAAAAAAAAAATTTGTTTGAAGTACAAATTGTTTAAATTTGTACATATACAATAAATAAATGCTAGATCTAATTTAACTGAACTTTATTGGAGCTAAATATTTTCTGGATTCCAACACTCTTTTTTCTTTTGTTAAAAATTTTACAGGGCCTTGCCTTTTTTTTCTGCACTTTATTATTGGTAATTGTAAACATAGAATAAATTTAATTCTGGAAAATTAATAAAAATTGCGTAAGTTTTGAACTTATTATATATTTTGCATTATTCCAACGTAACCTTTTTTTCCCTTCCGTTTGAAATAAATTCTTAGATAACTTTTGTAATTTTAATTCATTTGTAATTTTAAATATAGCATTAATTTAATTTTTTAAAATGACTTCGTTAAGCCTACTTTCATTTATATAATTTACTATATTCCAACGATTCTTTTTTCTGATGTGCGAAATTCATTCTTAAATTGGCTTTATCATTCATAGCGTAAATTTATCTCTACTAAATTTTTTGGGATTGTTTTTCATTGTATATTTTACAGCGTCCCACCTTTTTCTATTTTTTCCATGAAATTTATTCTTAAAAATAAACTTTATCATTGGTAATTTTAAATGTGGAATAAATTTAATTCTGATAAATTTTATTTTTAAAAGCCTTAATCTTATTATATATTTCACATTATTCAAATGTAACTTTTTTTTCTTTCTTTTTTTCCGCGTGTTTGAAGTTAATTCTTAAATTGACTTCACATGTAATTGTGAGTATAGCATTAATTTAATTTTGTAATATCTTATTTCATTAAACCTACCTTCAATTATATATTTTGCAATATTCCAGCGATTATTCTGTGAGTTAAATTTACTCTTAAATTAACTTCATCATTTGTCGTTCTTATCATATATATTTCGCAGTATTATTTCGCTTCATTTAGTTTTGCTCATAATTAAATGCTAAACTGACTTTTTGAATAGTGATTAGAAATAAATCTAAAAATATTCTTTTTTTTTTCACAGTCCAATTTTGTTTAGTACAGATTTTGTTAGAATTTTTCAGTATTCTTAAAATTTTTATTTGTAAAAAAAATATTAAGTTAATTTATATAATTATTTCATTAGAAAGCGCTTTATAAGAATTTAACCAAGCGCCTACGTAGATTATAAATCAAACTTTTCAGTAAAATTCTTTTTTATGCATTATTTTGTTAATAGAACAAATTTTTGATTGCCGTATCAATTAACGTAATTAAACTACCGAATTCAGCGTTTCATTCTTTTTTTATACCAAACAGAATCTCTTTTCTTTCCCTTAATTTTTCTGTACCACTTAATTGTCTAACATTCTCAAAAATGAAATCTATTTGATTATCTTTACACTTTTCTGAGCTTCCACTGACAAATTCATTTCTAAATCGTCTGACAGCTTTATTTAAATAATATAATTTTTTTTTACGAAAGTTGCTTTTTTCCTTTTGAGTCATTTTACTAATATTTCTGAATTTCTGTTTAATTTATTATAATTTTTCCACTCGCTATATGTTCATTTCCTCGTAAACAAATGCTTTTAATTTTCTTTCCTGTTAGCTTAACTAAATAACTAAATTATATATTATTTAATTGTAAGAATAATGTTAGAAAATTACTAGATTTACAAGATTAGAAAATTACTAATTTAGAAATGTACTGTTTTAAAAAAAAATCTCCTGGTTTTGCAGCATATTAGAGTATTTCCTAAAAAATCAGTTTACTTAAAAAAAAAATCCCTGTTGAAATAGAATTTTAACACAATCTATTTTTTACCCCTAGAATATTTAAATAAGTATTACTAATACTTAATGAAGCGAACTTCATTTATAATAGTAATCAGTTTAAAGTTTTTTTTCTGGTTTTAAAAATTTTAGTTTATTTAAATTCGGAGCTCCTTTTTTTAATTAATTGAGAAATCCATAACCAGCAATAATAACATGCTTATCTATTACCATTCAAATTTTACTGAACGCGATAAAGAAACCATTTCAAATTCAATTAATATCGACTATAAATGAATGGTACATATAGGTCAGACCAGACCATGTACAGTTATAACTGTAATAAAATTTTCATACTTTGATGATTGGAATAATCCCCGAAATTCCTTATATGTGAAATATTTAGTATAATGTAATGCAACAATTATCATAAAGGTTTCGTAAAATCTGCTGGATTTTTTCTATCCGTGATAGCGGCTATGCATTTAGAAATATACAAAATCCTTTTGAGTAAGATATAAGAGCTTTATTTGTAATCGTTGTATTCTAAATTAGAAATATTAATATTTGACATTTTGATGCATAAGTTACTTTAACTTATTAACTAACACATAAAAACACAAAATAGAAATATATAATACAAATTTAAATTTTATAGAATGTTAAGCAAGCACAAATAAAACACCGTAATTTAATTTAAGAAAATCCATACAAAAATTTCATAAGGTGAAATAAATTTTTTTTTCTGATTTCTTAATTATTTTATTTTAAAAGCAAAGATTCACTTTTAGATTAAAATTTAATTAATAATTTTTTTTTTGCATATTTATTATTATATACAGGCATGAAAGCTTTCAGCTTTTACTCTGAATTCAGCCTTTTTCAACGTTTTTTAAGCTCCATACATTTATTAATTTCATAATATTTGATTGNAAATATTTTCTGGATTCTAACACTTTTTTTTTTCTTTTGTTAAAAATTTTACAGGGTCTTGCCTTTTTTTTTCCTGGAGATTTTTTTTAAAATAAACTTTATCATTGGTAGTAAGTTTTGAACTCATTATATATTTTACATTATTCTAACGTAACCTTTTTTCCCCTTCTGTTTGAAATTAATTCTTAAATAACTTTAAGATTTGTAATTTTAAATATAGCATTAATTTAATTTTTTAAAATGACTTCGATAAGCCTACTTTCATTAATATAATTCACTATATTCCGACGATTCTTTTTTCTGATGCGCAAAATTCATTCTTTAATTGGCTTTATCATTCACTGTTGTATATATAGCGCAAATTTATTTCTACTAAATTTTCTGGGATTGTTTTTCATTATATATTTTACAGCGTCCCACCTTTTTTCCATGAAATTTATTCTTAAAAATAAACTTTATCATTGGAAATTTTAAATGTAGAATAAATTTAATTCTGATAAATCTTATTTTTAAAAGTTTTAATCTTATTATATATTTCACATTATTCTAATGTAACTTTTTTTTTCTTTCTTTTTTCCGCGTGATTGAAATTAATTCTTGAATTGACTTCACGTGTTATTGTTAATATAGCATTAATTTAATTTTGTAATATCTGATTTCGTTAAGCCTACCTTCAATTATATATTTTGCAATATTCCACCGATTATTTTGTAAGTTAAATTTACTCTTAAATTAACTTCATCAATTGTCATTTTTATCATATATATTTCACAGTTATATTTCACTTCATTTAGTTTTGCTCATAATTAAATGCTAAACAGACTTTTTGAATGGTGATTAGAAATAAATCTAAAAATATTTTTTTTATTTTCACAGTCCAATCTTGTTTAGTACAGATTTTGTTAGAATTTTTCAGTATTCTTAAAATTTTTATTTGTAAAGAAAATATTAAGTTAATTTATATAATTATTTCATTAGAAAGCGCATTATAAGAATTTAACCAAACGCCTTCATAGATTATCTGTCAAACTTTTTAATAAAATGCTTTTTTATGCATTATTTTTTTAATAGAACAAATTTTTGAGTGCCGTATCAATTAACAGAATTAAACTGCCGAATTCAATTTCTTTCTTTTTTTATACCAAACAGAATCTCTTTTTTTCCCTTATTTTTTCTGTACCACTTAATTGTCTAACATTTTCAATAATAAAATCTATTTGATTATCTTTACACTTAAAAAGTCGTGATAATTTGCGTTTTATACTTCATTATGCTGTTTTAAATTCTTATAGAAGTTACTTGCTTCTAAATTATAAAACGTATCTAAGCTTTATAATAAGATAATAAATTTTTGATTATTGTATCAATTAACAGAGTAAAAATACCGAGGTCAACCTTTCTTTCTTTTTTCTAAGCAAATTCTTTCGTCCTTTTTTTCCCCTTACTTTTTCTGTACTACTTAATTGTCCAACATTCTCAATAACAAAATCTATTTGGTGATCTTTACTCTCTGTATGGAATCGTGGGAATTTACATTTTATGCTTCCCTTTGATTGATGTAATTATAATAGAGACTAAAATGGAGATTATTTTTTGTAAATTATTGCAGATGTTACTTGCCTGTAACTTATAAAACATATGTAAGTTTAGCAATAGGATAACTAATTTTCGATTATTGCATAATTTAACAGAATTAAAATGCCAAAATAAACGTTTCTTTCTTTTTTCTTTATACGAAGCAAAATCATTAATTTTTCCCCTTAATTTTTCTGTACCTCTGTATTGTTTCATATTCTCAATGAAGAAATCTACACTTAATGGAATCTCTATACTTATTGGAATCTCTGCACTTATTGGAATTTGCACGTTATGTTTCCTTTTGCTTGATATAATTAGGATAGACGCTTAAATAAAAATCATTATTTAAATTATTTTGGAATTTATTGGCCAATAACTTGCCATAAACTTAATACTATTAATTTAGCTTTTTTTTCCATATGCAATTGTGAAGTTAAATTAATTTTCTGAGCTTCCGCTAACAAATTCATTTCTAAATCATCTGACAGTTTTATTTAAATAATAAAATTTTTTTACGAAAGTTGCTTCTTTCCTTTTGAGTCATTTTATTAATATTTCTGAATTTCTGTTTAATTTATTAAAATTTTTCCACTCGTGATATGTTTCTTTCCTCGTAAACAAATGCTTTTAATTTTCTTAATTCCTGTTAGCTTTTCTTTAAAAATTATTATAGGAATGCTTATTACCAATGCTGATTAACTAAATAATTAAATTATATATTATTGAATTGATATTATATATTTAAATTAATTGAGAAATCCATAACCAGCAATAATAACATGCTTATCTATTACCATTTAAATTTTACTGAACATGATAAAAAACCATTTCAAATTAAATTAATACCGACTATAAATGAATGGTACATATGGGTCAGACCAGACCATGTATAGTTATTACTGTAATAAAATTTTCGTACTTTGATAACTGGAATAATCCCCAAAATTCCTTATATGTGAAATATTTAGTATAATGTAATGCAACAAATATTATAAAGGTTATATTTCGTAAAATCTGCTGGATTTTTCCTATCCGTGTTAGCGGCTATGCATTTAGACATATACCAAATCCATTTGAGTAAAATATAAGAGCTTTGTTTGTAATCGTTGTATTCTTAATTAGAAATATTAATATTTGACGTTTTGATGCATAAGTTACTTTGACTTAATAACTATAAAAACACAGAATAGAAATATATAATACAAATTAAAATTTTATAGAATGTTATACAAACACAAATAAAACACCGTAATTTAATTTAAAAAAAATCCATACAAAAATTTCATGCAGATAAAATTAAAACATTTTCTTTTCTGATTTCTTATTTATTTTATTTTAAAAGCAAAGATTCACTTTTAGATTAATATTTAATGAATATTTTTTTTTGCATATTTATTATTATATGGAGACTGTTATGAGACTTTTTTTAAGTAAAGAAATTTTGAAGAATTTAATACAGTTTTGGATAAAATGGCTTATTCTATTAAGTATTAAACATTATAATCATAATTGAAAGAAATGTCTACTAAGTGCTAAATTAAAATTCCGATTCTTTGCAAGAATTTGTCATATTTTGTAAGGATCTCGGTCTCCTATTTTTTTTATTCATCCTGGTATATCTGTGACTTATCACAGTTATTCCCGATATATTAAGGCGAATTTTTTAGAAAATGGATTTTTCTAAATCATCCTGATTTCTGCTCACAAATTTTTGCTGGGAACGAATAATTTTTTTTTCCAAAGAGTTAGTTTTGTATTGCAGTAACCGGACGAAATTGGTGGATGGAAACGTGATGATAAGAAGATAATCTAGATGATATATATCTAGATCCATGATTTATATCTAGATCTATGATATATATCTAGATCTATTATATGTATCTAGATCATATATATCTATTATTTAGGATAGAATCGAGATAGGAATATAAAACGCGGAACGTTTTTAACGGATTTTAAGGCGTTTTTGACAGAATAATGACAATTCTTAATTGAAGAAAACATTCAATATATATCAACATTTTTCCTTTTTTGTCTAGATGGCATCTCAACAAAGCATCAAGGTCTGCTGCCGGGTACATGGAGAAAATGAATATAACAAGGAAACTTTGGAACACGGTTACAGTTTTCTTGATAGCAAATCAATTTTACATTTGTCTTCGGTGAGTTTACTATTTTCTTTTCTTCTAATATATTTTATTTTTGTTAACTAGGGAGCTCATAAATATTATAATTTTATGCATGAACATTTTGAAGATTAGTAATCTAAAGGAAATGAAAGATGGCCTGTATGTGAAAAATAATCAACCGAAATTTGAAAATGAAACTTGAATTTTAATTTAATGTTTAACTTAATAAGAAATAATTCTACTCGTTTGCGATGCACAGTGGCGTCCTTGAATCATTTTAGCAGCATGAATGGAATCCTGATCTGAACATAATATATTAACTTTTTTAAATTATTAAAGATTTAAAAATACGTGTTAAGATTTGTATTTGAAAACATCTAATGTCTCTTTTTAATTACAACATCGTTTCAAGCACAAGCATATAAAGTGATATTGTTGCTGGAAAATTGTTGTAGGAAAATTTAAATATATTTTTTTTGTACATGCAGAGAGGCCAACGTGCAATTTTTTACAACAAATTTAAAATTTAATAATTGTCTAGAACTAATCATAGAATGTTAATTTTTTATTCCAATGTACTCCCCGTACACCTGTACAGTTTTCTGCACATTTCTCTGTATATTTGCAAAAAATAAAATTTTTCTTAAAAAAATGGAAAGGTATAAACAAAATTGAACAAAAGTTTTATAGGCGAAACATTATTGCAGTTCTGCTTCTTCAAAGCAGAAAAAGTCTAATTTTTATATTTTGTAGAATTTTTAAGACCTTTTATGCAAAACTGTAATTTTTCATATGACTATAAAGAAGCTGTGTGCAATTTTCTAATAAGAAAAACTTATCAGTAAGAACTATATTTTTTTGTAAGGAATTCTACTTTATTCTTTAAAAAATGTATCAAATATTTTAAATTAAAATTAATAAAAAAGGATTAATTTTAAAAGAAAAACATTATATGCAAATACAGTCGGATTTCTATTTAACGAACTTCCATTTTGAATAATGAACCAAGATGAGTTGAGTGTAGAATAAAATATATTTCAGTTTCTTTTTATTAATTTGTTATTTTCTAGTAGATAAATAATAAATTTAAATTTTAGTCGGAAGCATTGCATTAAATATTTTGATAACTATAATATTGTTTTTGAATAATATTAAGTACCATTGATACATTTTATCAGAGATTTGATTGATAAATGTTTAAAAAAATTGAAGAAATTTGTAATTTTGATTATGAAAAATTTGTTTTATATAATTTTTTTTTTACTCAAACAAACATTGATTGTTTCCGCTGTCTTGAATACATCAATTTTACATGTTGCGAAAAATTCTGAGGCGCACTGTAGTGTGAACTCACGAATAGTTGTGAAAGTTAAATTCATTTTGTTTTATGTATCCACCTCATTTATAAAGTTCAATAAGGAAAGCTTTTTTTCTCCTTTTTTAGGGCCGGATATATACTTTTGATAAAATATTTGATTCATGCTCATCCCAGTCCCAAATTTACAACGAAGTTGCTAAACCCATAGTTTTCAGTAAGTAAACCTTCTTCATGAATTTTTGTAGTATCTCTAGCAATTTATTTGAATGCAGAAGAAAGGCGATGAATTGCAGCAGATTTTTAATTTTAACAAATGTTCACGTGAATTATGAGATTGATTACCGTGTCTTTTTTTCCGAAATAAAGGCTCATCAGTTGTTTTGGTAGTTAAAATGCCCGGATCCGGATTTTTCTGAGCTCCTGCTTCTAATTCTAATTTTATTAAATTCGATTAAATATGCCACTTTTATCCACATTAAGTGAAACTTATTAAATTCAGGGTTGCCACAGGTGACTAAAATGCGACTACTTGCAACTATTTTCGGCCTGAGGCGAATATGGTAGCTCTTTTGCCTTAAAAGGCTAAAAAGCAAATATTTTCAGGAAAAAGAGAATATTGGGAGAGTTTTCTGTACTCTTAGAGATGCTTTTTAGCATACATTGGATTGACAGCCTGAATGTAAAAAAATTTGAATTGCAAATTTGAGGCATCACTTTTTAATGTAAATCTATTGTAAATCTATTTCTATCTCCTTTTCATTGGTTATTGCTACGAAATTCAGCGTGATTTTTAAAGACCCAATTTTTAATACTTTATTACCATGCGTGAATTTTGAACTTGATTTGTCATTTTTCACAAATGCTTAATATATATATATATATATATATATATATATCATATTGAATATACATATTGAATCTGACATACATACATACTGAAAAAAAATTGATAAAAGGAAAAATTCCTAGAAAAAGTATGTTTCTTTTAATGAAAAAGTATTTTTTTAATGAATTCTAGCAATTAAAAGTATTCAATTTTCTGCAAATATACTAGTTTTTTTATGTAAAAATTTAGTGCCAGAGCACTAACGTAACGTTTATTATAGAAAGATTATGGTATTTGCCACCAACTTGACTAAATGGTTCATGGTATATGACAATTAAGCCATTTAATAAAATTTGCGTAATATTATTGAAAATTTTTTATTCTTATTTAGGCAACTATTCTGATAGTTTTCGGCAACCATTTTCAGGCTTTAGGCTACTAAAAAAAAACTATTTTGTTCTTTTTTTTCTGTGGCAACCCTATCAATATGGAACACCATGGGAAAGTGAAATGCTTTTTCTTATAATTTACTTTTTTAAACTACAGATATTCTTATAATTATGGAATAAATAATAAAAACTTTTATATTAAAATGGCAGAACCTTTTTATTACAGATGTACTCAGTGGTTATAATGGCGCTATTCTTGTTTATGGTCATACATCCAGTGACAAAGCCTACACAATGGAGGTAAAGTTTGATTTCTCAATCCTCTAGTTATTTCAAATTGTTTCTCTCTCTCTTTTTAAGAAAATTCACATTTATCTTAAAAAAAAATCAAAAAATTTGTTTTTTTTTTGGCTATAGTAATGTTTCGGAGAAAGCAAAGTTTAGAACGACAAATGAAAACGGTAAAAAGAACGACCAGTTGCTTTTTAACACAATTCAGAATGTATGTTTTTAAAACTTTTGTCGAAAAATTAACCATATGAAACCTACAGATAGAATTCATATGTTAAGTATGAATTAAAATTTATAGAACGAGTTGTTGTCATAAAACTTCAAAAGTCTTTAATATTATAATTTAAGGTTGTTCGATTATTCTAGTGGCCTAGCTGCCAAATCTACTGGATTTTTCAGTAGACTACTGGATTCAGCCAGTTTTTCCTGGTCTACTAGTGTAATTAAACTTCTCCAGGTTTTTGCACATTTTAGAAAATTCCCTTAAGTTGGGTAAGTCTCCTTAAAAAAAAAATCCCGATTGAAATAAATTTTTTGAACAGATTTTTGCTAGCTTTCTTGAACAGTTAAGTAAGTATGACTAATGCGCAATGAAACGAACCTCATTTATAGAAATCAATTCAAAACTTTTTTGTTCTAAAATGTTCAGATTTGTTAACGAAATTGTTAAAAAATTTAGATATTTTCCCAGAATTTTTTTCTCCGTATAATCGTACACTACTGTACACATTCAAAACGAATGCTATTTAGCTTACGATCTTTTAGATGGGATCGTTGATCAAAATCTATTGTATTGTTATTACTGTATTGTAGGTTTAATCTTGCTTAACTTTGATCTAATATTGATCAACGTTATTTTTGTTATTTCATTTGATAATATGTTCATAGTTGCCAACTCTACTGGATTTTGCCAGTTTCTCCTGGTCTACGGGTTTAATTAAAATTTTAGTTTTTGTACATTTTAGAAAATTCCCTAAGATTGTGCATGTTTCCTAAAAAATGCCCTGTTGAAATAGAATTTGTATGCAGATTATAGCTTGAATATTTAAATAAGTGTTACTAATACATAATGAATCGAACCTCATAACTTTTTTTGTTCTGAAATGCTCAGTTTATTTTTATTCTGTCTTTTTAAATTGATTAAAAACTCTTTTAACTATCTTTGATGAAGTAAATATGTTTTAAAATTCGAAATTATGGAAAATATTGCAGTTTTTATTATTTTGATGACTAAAAATCCCTCAAATTCCCTATGTATGAAATATTTAGTACATTATGCAACAATTGTCATGTTATTTCACAAAATCTACTGTATTTTTTCCTGTCTGTGTTGGCACCTGGGTGATTTTCACGAAATATGACAATTCACTGTCCCTTGCTCCAAGATCTAATACTAAAAGAACTTTTTTTTAAAAAAGTTAATAAATAGCATTGCTGTTAGAATTTTAAAATGACTTTACACTAGCAATGACTGTTTTGTACAGTTAAAAAATTTATTTGAACTTTCAGAAATTTCATGCTTCTGGCATGTCCCAAACAATGTTTTCAGTAATAACTAGCTTCAAAACTTCCTATAAATTTCTCAATATCTAATTTCTTTTATCTCCACCGGTGTAGGGATTTCTAGAATATACGCAAAGGGTATTATTTACAAAAACTTCGTTTAAAATAATTTTTTCTGTCAATAATTTGTTTGTCCCAAGACAATCTGTCATTTTCCTGGCTACTTATAGTCAGTGGTTCATAACCAAAATAGATAGAGCCAACAATCAATATCTTATATTAATAGATTGATTAGATATACTCCTTAATGAACATGTCTTGTTGCATGAATAAAGAACCATTTTCTGGCTAAAAATCTATTTCAAAATTTTTTTTGTGTTTTTGTGTTGTCATTTTCCTGGCTTCTTGAAATCATCAATAACAAAAACTACATAGATTTATCTGAGTTATTTTAAGAAATACTGTTGTTTTCTGCAGAATATAAGCGTCTTTGGCCAAAATATTAAAGTAAAGTTATATGCAATAAAATGGCGAATTTGTCATTATCCTGGATCTCATTTTCATGGCTTATGAATGCCAGGACATTGAAGTGTTACCAGAAATTTTTTTTAACTGCTAATACTGTAAGAAGGGAAAGCAAATATTAACCTAATACCAAATTTATGTATGATTGTAATATTCTTCGATGTAATCAAAGTTATTTATTTATTTAATGATTGATTATTATACACAATTTTATTCAGTACAACATATCAGCAACAAAATTTTTTTCGATTCTTTCTACAGTGGATAAAAAGAATTAATTTAAGCAATTTATGGTCCATCTAACATAAAGGCCTGAGTTGAGTTACTTACTATTAACTTAACATGACTGTTTTTTAAACTTCTATGCTAATGTGTCATTTTCCTGGCAATCAAGATTTGGTGAATTTTAATTTTTTTTTCTCGAGCAAATGTCAATAAACTACACTGTTGTCTATAAGATATTAATAANGATTATTATACACAATTTTATTCTGTACATATCAGCAACAAAATTTTTTTCGATTCTTTCTACAGTGGATAAAAAGAATTAATGTAAGCAATTTATGGTCCATCTAACATAAAGGCTTGAGTTGAGTTACTTACTATTAAGTTAACGTGACTGTTTTTTAAACTTCTATGCTTAATGTGTCATTTTCCTTGCAATCAAGATTTGGTGAATTTTTATTTCATTTTTTTTTCTCGAGCAAATGCCAATAAACTACACTGCTGTCTACAAGAAATTAATAAGTGTGAATAAAGAAGTATAAAAAAATTTTTTAGATTATTTTGAAGACTTTAAATATGAAGAAATTTCTTAGTCCGAATTGTCATGTTTAAAAAGAATCACCCAGCTATGCATTATTTTCCATTAATTATTTGTGCTGCAAAATTCATAATGAGAGTCATGTTTTGTTTAAAGGGAGTTGCATTTGGTAATGAGAAATCAGGAATTATACCACGAATTGCTCATGATATTTTTAGCCACACAGAATCCTTAGAAGATTCATTAAAATGGGAAATAAAGGTAAGCATGCAGTTCTTATATCTAGTAATCTGTATCAAAACTTTCCGTATGCTAACTGGTAATTACAATACTTTTGCTGGCATTTTTTATTTAGAAAAATAGCTTAGAGCATTCTCAAATAACTTCTCTTTTGTATAATAGTGAAGAACCACTATTGTACAATGTATAATAGAATAAGTACAAACCTCTAACACTTGCCATTATTTAAGTGAATTCTTTAACTTTGTTTCACTTTCTACTACATAAGAGAATTGACCTATTTTAAAGAGTTTGAAAAAGCCTCTAGAAAAGAGAAATTTTACAATCGAGACAATTTTGTAAGAAAAATATACATAAATCTATAACTGCATTTATCAGGTTTTAATTCTTAATTTATTTATACCATATTAATTTTGAAAACATAAAAACTTATTTTCATAAAATTACTTATTTAATTTAAAACTAATTTTTACTTCCTGTTTCGAAGATTATATTCCAGCATAAGAAAGGGTGACGCCCGGTGACTAAGCGGTGTCGTGCCACAAGTCCCTGGTTCGATCCTCGGACCAGGCAAGGTTGACTCAGTCTTTCATCCCTTCAGTGGGTCGATAAATGAGTACCAAGCATGCTTGGGAACTAAACACTGGGGGTTCCGCGCTCGGCTGACCAGCTGACCGGAACATCTGCTTCTGCACCCCAGAGCCCAAGGTCAAGAAAACTGAGATGGGCACAGTAGGCCTTGGCCCTCTAGGGCTGTAGCGCCGCTGAGTTTAGTTTAGATAAGAGAGGATGCTTTTTTTAATGTCCTCTTCAATGTCATTAAAATTTGTTCCTATTTTCTAGATTTCCTTTTATGAGATTTATTTGGAGAAAGTCCGTGACTTATTTGATGGTAAGTTATAATTTAAGAACGACTCAATAAAAAAATAAATAAAAAAGAGAACACAAAATTTACGCTATCTCTTTTTTTTCTTCTTTTTGTAGATTCTGAAGACACATTGCAAGTATACGATGATAGGAAAGGCTCACCTTTCATAGTGGTAAGTTCGCAAAGACCTTCTCCTTTTTTTTAATTTTATAAACAAGGCTAATTCGAAATAAGAAGAATTAAATGCTAAAAATAAGTAAGACGAAAGCGGGATTTTGAAATAACGTATAAATTACTCTATATAAAATGCAGATTAGAATCGATCCTCGAACTCGGATAGAGACACTACAATTTTCATGTTATTAGAAACTGAACATTAAATTTCTTTAATGATTTATTTAATCAAATTACTGTGCTGTTTTTTTTAAAAAAAAACTTGTACACATCGCATTTATCAGTAGACTTCTAGATTTTCTCCTGATCTACTGGTATAAAATTTTTTTTCCTAGTTTGTATACAGTTTAGAAAAATTCCCTACCCCTCGAAAAAAGATCCCTGTTGGAATAGAATTATTTCATAATTTATTGATTGTTTAAATATTTAAATAAGTATTACTAGTACATGATGAAGCGAGCCTCACTTGTAGTAATCAGTTTAAAAACTTCTCTTTTTTCTAAATATAGTCAAACCCCGCTATAGTGAACACGGTTTATAGTGAACTCCCGGATATAGTGAACGAAATGTTCGGTCCCGTGCCTTGCTATACACGGATAATATTAATTTTTGTGGATATAGTGAACCAAAAAGTGAGGTCACTGTAAGGTGTCGGTGGGATGAATATGCATTTTCTATCAGAGGAAATGTGTAATTATTCAATGTTGGTTAAAGGGTTGGACACTAATATGTGTTGATAAGGCTCTCATTTCAACTCCTTTTTGTTCTCAGTAGAAGAGTAATGAGAAATAACACATTTTTTGCTGCTACATAATATTTTTCAGTCATTTATTTGAATAATGTGTAATAAAAGAGAGAAGTTTGGAAACCACTAGTTAAATTTTTTGAGGAACGGATATAGTGAACTCCCGGTTATAGTGAACCAAAATTTCGGTCCCTTGAACGTTCACTATAGCGGGGTTTGACTGTATTTCAATTTATTTTTAATCAGAACTCACTTTTCAAATTATGAAATCTTTTAACTATCAATAATGATTTATTTGTTTACTACTATTAAAAGTTAATTAAAAGGAATTTAAATTCATTTAATGCCAATCATAAATGGTAAATATTGAAGACCATTTACAGTTATTAGTGTAATAAAATTTTTGTATTTTTATGACAATAAAAGTCCCTTTATGAAAAATATTTAAAATATTATGCAGCAATCATCATGAAATTTATATTATTTCGTGAAATCTACCGGATTTTTTTTTTTATCCATGTTTGCAGCTACAATATTGCATTACTTAAAAATGATCAAAGGTAACTTGAAAAACTATTTAATGGTAAAATTAAGGATCTCTGTAATCTGAAGATAGCAGAATAAAAATTCGTTCCGTTAAATAATACATAAAGAACTTATTAGTAAATACCGTTATTACTTTTCATTTCACGTTGATGACAATCAAAGATTTATGTATCTTAAAGGATCCTATTACGTGATTCTTCTGTCCAATAAGAATGTACAGACAACAAGTTAAAAAGTTTTCAAGTAAGTTTTTAAGAACAGGAATTTAATGAATTGGGAATTCTTTTTACTAAAATATTTTGTGAAATCAAGGATCGCCGAGAATTGAGCTAGTAGAAATTTTTCTAAGATGCTAAAAAAAATGTGATAATGAGGTTACTGTAGTTAAAATTAATTTATTTTAGGGTGGAAAAGAGATCTTGGTAAAAAATATCAGAGAAGTGATGGAATTCTTCAATGAAGCAAAATTGAAACGACACGTAGCTTATTCAGGTTAGAACTTTTTCTCTAAATGATCCAGCCCTTTAACATACTACTCTAATAAATGTTTAAAAAATTTATTTATTTATTCCTTTTTTAGATACGAACGAGATGATCTCGAGAAGTCATACAATATTTCAGATAGTCATAAAGCAAGAAAACTTGGTGTCTCATGAAAAAATGACTGGAAAGCTTTTATTAGTAGACTTAGCTGGAAGTGAGCAGGTTAGTAAATGTTTTTTTTTTCATTACTTACTAGCGTTTAACAACAGTGATTTTTTTCCACCTTGATTTGTTGCAATTTAAGAACGAATAGAAAAGGTCACTTACACTTTCAGTATTAAAACAAAATACAAAATTCAATAAGTTATCCAAAATTATGAGTAAAACAATAAGTTATATAAATATTTAAAAAAAAATTTGTTTTAGTCCTTCAAAATTTTTTTTAAATTTAATTTTCATACAAAAGTTTGACAGATTTAAAGAAATTATATATTTTTAAAATTTAATATCATGAATTCACCATTTAAACATCAAAATTTCCTTTTTTAGACGTGCGTCTATGCACTTGTTGTTAGAATTTTAAAAAATTGTATTGCATTTTCCTTAAAAAAATACGTTTTATATCCTTATAGTTTTAAAATAATTTGTTTGCGACAAAAAATAGAAAGTTTGATTTTTTATTACTAGCAAAAGCGAAATGGCATTTATATAAAATTTATTCGCACAATAATTGGAATCTCTTTTGAATGCAATTGAATGTACAAAAGATAACATTATAATAAGGCAGGCTTATATATAATATAATATAATATAATATAATATAATATAATATAATATAATATAATATAATATAATATAATATAATATAATATAATATAATATAATATAATATAATATAATATAATATAATATAATATAATATAATATAATATAATATAATATAATATAATATAATATAATATAATATAATATAATATAATATAATATAATATAATATAATATAATATAATATAATATAATATAATATAATATAATATAATATAATATAATATAATATAATATAATATAATATAATATAATATAATATAATATAATATAATATAATATAATATAATATAATATAATATAATATAATATAATATAATATAATATAATATAATATAATATAATATAATATAATATAATATAATATAATATAATATAATATAATATAATATAATATAATATAATATAATATAATATAATATAATATAATATAATATAATATAATATAATATAATATAATATAATATAATATAATATAATATAATATAATATAATATAATATAATATAATATAATATAATATAATATAATATAATATAATATAATATAATATAATATAATATAATATAATATAATATAATATAATATAATATAATATAATATAATATAATATAATATAATATAATATAATATAATATAATATAATATAATATAATATAATATAATATAATATAATATAATATAATATAATATAATATAATATAATATAATATAATATAATATAATATAATATAATATAATATAATATAATATAATATAATATAATATAATATAATATAATATAATATAATATAATATAATATAATATAATATAATATAATATAATATAATATAATATAATATAATATAATATAATATAATATAATATAATATAATATAATATAATATAATATAATATAATATAATATAATATAATATAATATAATATAATATAATATAATATAATATAATATAATATAATATAATATAATATAATATAATATAATATAATATAATATAATATAATATAATATAATATAATATAATATAATATAATATAATATAATATAATATAATATAATATAATATAATATAATATAATATAATATAATATAATATAATATAATATAATATAATATAATATAATATAATATAATATAATATAATATAATATAATATAATATAATATAATATAATATAATATAATATAATATAATATAATATAATATAATATAATATAATATAATATAATATAATATAATATAATATAATATAATATAATATAATATAATATAATATAATATAATATAATATAATATAATATNAGTTATGTAAAAATGTCTACTTATTGATTGATTTAAAAGCTATATTTTATCAGTGAATTTATTTATTTTTTAAAATTTAGGTTTTAACAAGTGTATTAACAAATGATTCTATCGTTAATCGAGAATCGAGATGTATCAATATGTCTTTATCTGTTTTGTCTAGAGTGATACTTTTACTAACAGAAAAAAGAGTAAGTAGAATTGCATTACATAGATAGTAATATTGTTTAAACAATTTTTTTAATTTTTTTTACCGAAATGATATTGATAGTGTTTTACAAATGACATCTGTGTTTTTAGCATGTAATATTAATAGAAAACACGTATTATGCTTTCATTATTTGGCAAGTCTTTAGGATTTTTTATTTATACCCTACAAAATTAATATGGGAAAAAAATGACTCATTATAAAAAGTCATTTTTCCACCTTCATTGAAATTGCCATACTCCTAGTTAACTCTAATTTTCAAAAATATTATGGTAAAACACTGAAGTGTTATTCCTCCCATTCTTATTTGATGAATGCCTGAAAAATTGTTTCTTCATATGGGGTAAATATTATTATTTAATTAATCAGTGTCTGTTTTGGTAGAATACTGTCAAGCAACAATTTCTAACAAGAAATTTCTAACAAGCTGAAGTTTTTTTTAATGAAAGTTGGTAGTTTTAAAGCTATAATCTTGCGTCTTGTCCAAACAGAGAGTTTACATCTCCTTTTGTTGAATAAATTGATTAAGTAAAATGTTATTTAATTAATATATATTAATATTGTTATTAAATAACAATGCTGTTGCTCATGGCCAGCTCAAGAATATCAAAATTTACCACTTGTAAAAAATTTTACTCCATTAATTTTGCGTTTTACTAAAAAAGTTTCAAAATAAATGAATATCAACTTAATTTTTTAGTTCGATTAGTAGTGAATTTTCATTATTTATGTTTATAGAAACGCGTGCCAAAGATATAATTATCAACAAACACTTGATAAGCTTTTCATTCGCTTTGCATTTTTGCAGTTCATTTTTAAAGCCGCTTATGGTTGTTTATTTCTTCACAAGATCATCCGTTTCTTAGCGATCAACATGTTTAAATCGCAAAAATTGATAGTTCACTGGGAGAAATAATTAAAATATTGTTCTTCTTTTCAAAAGGATGGTATACCGTACAGGGAGAGCGTTCTTACTCGATTGTTGAAGGAAAGTTTAGGAGGAAATTCTCAGACAGCCATCATCGTCTGCATCAGACCATCATCTGAAAAAAGAATAAAATGGTCTCTGGAATTCGGTTGTCGGTAAGTATCTTCTTTTTTGGCAAAAGGTTTTTCTTTTATTTTCAGAAGTTGGAATCATTTAAATATTACTTAAGCGTGTTTTTTCTCTTGTCTGTGAAATAAGTAAAATTGAAAATAATAATAATGCATAGCTGCCAAATCTACTGGATTTTCCAGTGGACTGCAGGTTTTTACCAGTTTTTCCTGGTCCACTGCTTTAATTAAAATTCTTCGTTTCTGTACATTTTAGAAAATTTCCTAAAATTTAGTGAGTTTTCTGCCAACTCTACTGGATTTTCTTGTAGACTACAGGATTTTACCAGTTTCTACTGTTTTGATTAAAATTCTTCATTTTGTACCTTTTAGAAAATTCCCTAAAAATGGTTAAGTTTCCTAAAAATAACCTAATGCAAAATGAATTTTTGTAAGGATTGTTGCTTGCTTGCATGAATATTTAAATAAGTATTACTAATGCATGATGAAGAGAACCTCATTTATAGAAATTAGTTCTAAACTGTTTTTGTTCTAAAAAGTTCAGTTTAATCTTTGAGGGATTAAATTATGCTTATTAATTATGAGTGAATTTTCAAAATTTTGAGTAAACATAATACTTAACATTTCAAATATGTTTCAAGTCGATAACTGGAAAATATTGCAGTTTTTCTATTTTGATGACTATGAAAATCCCTAAAATTCCCTGTGTGTAAAATATTTAGTACATTATGAAATAATTATCATAAACTGGATTATCTACTGGAATTTTTCCTATCCATGCTGGTCCTATCCTATGATAATGCAATAATCAAGATTGCATTCGAAAAAGTAAGCTTGTTAAGTAATTGTAAATATTAAAAAGTTTGGGTTAATTGAAATCTTAATATGGTAGTTGCTATATTATTTTCCTAATAGAATTTCAGTGAAATATTACTCCTCATCTAACGTACGTGATTTCAGTATGGTAACAATGACAGTTAATTTTTACTAACTATTGAAATCATAAACCTGGAAATAGTCCAGTAATAGTTCATAGTAAAAAGGAAAATAGTTTTATTAGTCATGATTGTATAATTATTTTATCGATATTCTGTGTCAAATAATCTCATCTTCTTTTCTTAGGGCAAAAATAATCAAAAACAATTTTTACCTGAATGTGAAACATGACAGAAAGAAGCCGAGTAGAATTTGGGAAAAATTTCAGAGATATATCAGTAGCACTAATCAATACATAAGTGGATCTATTGCAGAGCTTCAGAAGTGGAGAAGCGGTAAAATCAGTTTTTTGCTATTTTTTTTCCACTTTAAACTTTCATTCTTTCCAATGAAGAAAGATCTTAAGGTTTAAAGTTGAACCTAAGAAAATCTTAAAATTACGACTGATAGAACCCACTCTACTTTTTGATTTCACAAACATTCGTTTCAAACTTTTTGGCAATTTTTGTTATTTGTTAAAAGCGAAAAATTAGCGGAATAATTATTTTATTGTTAGTAGTTATCAAGAAATATTAAGCTGTAATATAAGTTATAAGCGTAAGGTACTTTAGCTGTGATTTCTTAGGCAAAAAAAGAGTTAACATAATGAGTAAATAATATATCCACACTGAAAAAAAAATGAGACTATGAGAAAAAAATTATCAGAAATATGATAAAATTTACCTGGTTTCTTGATTTATTGGATCACTAGGATAGAAGGGTTAATAGTGAAGGAAATTGGCAGGATTGATAATGAATTATAATTATATATTATGTGGTAAAATTTGATAATTTTATCATGATTTTTATGAGCATGTCATCAAAATTATTTATTCGGTTAAATTTACTTTTCAGTTCTTTTTTTTTTTAAACTAAATGTACTAAGAACTATAATTTTCAAAACCAGCGTTTTTAGAAAATCGTTATATGTGAACGGAAAAAATTAACAAATGAATGGTTAAATTTAGGTTTCATTAACCAGAATTATTTCTTTTAAATAAAAAAAGCAAAAAATTTCGATATTATACAGTACAGTAATTTAATCTGAATTTTTATTCAACGTGCACTTAATTTAAATTACATATATTTTTGTTTTTTGCTTGTGGACAATGCTTTTATCACAACAAAGCAGACTCAAATATATGTTTTAAGCGAATTATTGCAAAACGAATTGGAGAATGCATTCACTTAAATTAGATAAACATGTATTTTTGCCTTACACACGAAGACATTGCTTTTATTAAAAAAAATAGAAATTCAGAAAGTAAAACAAAAAAGTTTATTAAATATAAGAATATTAGCAATTATTATACTTTCATAATTATATAGTTATATATTTTTAATTAAATTTAAAAAAATTCAAAGTGCAAAAAATACTGTTAGAGGATGTTTCTTTAATTAATAAAAGTAAAACACCGGGAGTAAGAAAATTCTATTGAATAATAAGTTAATTATTCTATTAAATACTTAATACTAATTATTAACTTCCATTAAATAATAAATTAACTATTCTATTAAAAATTAATACTAATTATTAACTTCTATTAAGTAATAAATTAATTATTCTATTAAAAAATTAATTCTAATTATTAACTTCTATTAAATAATAAATAATTTTTTTTAATTGTAATTATTAACTTCAATTAATTCTTATTTATTCTAAAAAATTAATTCTAATTATTAACTTCTATTAAATAATAAATAATTTTTTTCAATCCATATTATTAAATATCAAAATCTGCCAATCTTTAATACAAGGATAAAATTCAACCCGTTGCCCAAATATTTTAAAAATCATTTTTTTGCGTAGTGCGATTCGAACGTTATTCTGCACAATTTATTTATCTTTATCAAGTTTTTGGTGTAATTTAAGAGGTTAAAATGATAACTATTCTTTTTTTTTCCCTTCAAAATTCTTTATAACTGCAGTCGATGAATTTACTGAGCTTAAAATGCTAAAATGTATGACGTTAAAAACACTTACAAACAGTGATGAATTCCTAATAAGCATTGAAGAAAAATTCACCACACATTTTTTTTTTCTAAATTAGCTCAAAGTTTTAAAAAAGTTTATCCAATTACAAAATATTAAAAAAAAATGTCTTATTTCTAGGAAAAGCTGTTCCTGCGGAAGAATGGATTCCTTTTATTAATTGTAATGAAAATTCCTTCTCTGATTCATATTTAACGGATACATCTCTAATGGATACATCATTTATAGATACTTCTGACATTGTGCATTCAGTTCACGAACAATCAAACTCTCAAATTTTGTCTGATTCATCATTCCTCGATACTTTCAATCTTAGTTTGAATGAGTCATTCACTATTCCCGATTATGAAGATGGGAATAGTTTACAAAGTCAGATTGAAATCATGAAACGACAACAGGTTTGTGCAGCGGTTTTTGACTTTTTTTAAACTTAAGAATGGTAGTAATTTTACAAATAGAACACACGGTTGCCACAGGCGACTAAAATGCGAGAATTTGCTACTATTTTTGCCTGAGGAGACTTTTGCAACTTTTTTTTCCTGAAAAGGCTAAAAAAAAACAACTATTTTCAGGAAAAGGACACTTGGGAGATTTTTCTTTGCTCCTAGCAATTTTTTTCCCACTTTTCTTTTTTAAGCATAAATTGGGTAGACAACCTGCTACCCGCGGAAACTTCTGAACGCAATGATTTCTTTTTTCTTATAAAATAAAAAATGCTGAAAATGTTGTATTGCAAACTTGAGTTATCACTTTTCAATGTGCTCAATTTGCACTCGGTCGCCTTTTCAGCTGTTTTTGCTACGGAATTCTGCATGATTTTAAGAAACCCAATTTCTAATACGATATTAAGATGTGTGGATTTCGAGTTTGAATAATAACTTTTCACAATAGATATATGTATACATGAAATTTTTTTGGAGTGGAACCTGTCTAAATTGACCACCCTCGGGACCAAGTCAAATGGTCACTATATAGAGGTGGTCACTTTATAAAGACTCTTAAAAAGGACTCCTTAAAAAAAACTTATAAAAAATGGTCATCTTACTCAGGTGCTCACATTACCCAGGTGGTCACTTTTACTGGTTCCCCTGTATATATTTTTTTAATGTAGTAATTATTAGTGTTTATTTATCGGTAAACATACTAATTTTTCTGATATAAAAATTAGTGCTAGAGCACTAACGTTTATATAAAAATTATTATATTTGCCAGCAACTTGACTAAATGGATCATGGCATATGACAACTAAGTCATTTAATAAAATTTTAGCCGCATTGAAAATTTTTTGTTCTTGTTTAGGTTTTTGTTCTTATTCATAGCTTTTGCCAACTATTTTCATGCTTTAGGCTACTAAAAGCAACTGTTTTATTCATTTTTTTTCTGTGGCAACCTTGAAAACACTGAAATTTATATTTAGATGCTTCTATTTTAATTGAATTGGTAAATTTTTTTTTTACATTTTCCTGTTTATTGATACCGTTTTCTAAATATCAGTAGCTTTGTTTAAATCTGTTTTAATGTTAGTTGAGATGTATTTTAATGTCCTCATGGAATAAAATAACTTTTAATTTTGCATTAAAAATCGAATGCGTATTTCATCAATTAAAAAATACTTTTCACTCAAGAAGAACTTTGTCACTTACAGAAAGTTGAAACAAAAATATGACTTAAGTAAATGAAATATAATTGATTTAATAATCAAATCCTGTTTAAAGGCAATTTAAAAGCAGTAAGTATAAAAGAAAAATATTACATAAAAATTGCTATTATTTGCAAATTTGTAGTTATATTTGTAGTCTGTATAAAAACATTGCAAAAGTATTAAAATTTGGTTTAACGATGAAAATTTTACAGTAAATTTACTGACAGCTGACAAAGAAACTTAGAATTTTTGCCTTCGAATTATACTGTAGATGTCCCCCCCCCCAAAAAAAAAGTTATTATGAAACGTTAATGAATCTAAAATATTAATATATTTGCATAATATTGTAGTTTACTTTTATATTGAATTAAATCTAACTTATTGCCTCTAAAGTTAGCCAATCTAACTGTGAAAAGGTCAGAGAAATTCCTAATAAACAGAAGAAATGGTTAGTATAAGATTTATAATTGTCTGTAGATTAATTTACATCATCAGACAATCCATCAGCGAGTTCCTTCTAAATCTAACAACCACGGTATATTTTTTTAACAATACCATATCTATAAATAACAAAAACACATTTTCACTTCACACTCACTAGAATTACCTAATATCATTAATATTTTATAAAATACACCAGATTTGAGCTCAGAATTATCGGTTTTGAAAGTTTGTCTCGCAGAATAAGCTGTAGTAAGCAGCTGTATATTTTCTAACAGGGTGTAAAGCAGGTCAAGAGCTCGAGCTTGTTGTTTACAATATCTCGCGCACAACAATAACACCATCTCATACATTGATAATGATTATTATGTATTTTAATCTTCAACGAAGTTTTTATGACCAAAATTGTCTGCTTATATTTTTTTTTAGCTTCTAAACACAATTATTTCATATGATTATTATTGGGCAATTTAACAGTAAAATAGTGGAAGACATTTGTGAACATCATAGGGAAGAAATAATAAATTTAGATATAAGAGATAACAAACTGGAATTTTCTAAGAGAAAAAAAATGCTTATTTTAATCTTCATAGATTTCATTACTTGATTTGCATGTTAGTCACATATTTTGTTTCGCATTTTAGCTCCAATCCCCACATATTGAGTGTAAGCCTACTGAAAGTGCAATAGCAGATGACATTGAAGAACAATCTAATGAAGAAATGGTGCGTAATTGATAGCTTTATTAAGTAGTTTAGATATAATAAAAGATAACAGCCAAGCATTTTCTAAAAGAAAAGCATTGCTTCTACCTAAACTTAATTTTCCTCACCAAATTTGCATTGCTTTTACTTTTAGTAGTTTTTATCACAAAATTTGCATAGTTTTCATATGTTTTTTATTTATTTATTTTAGCTCCCATTCCCACATATTGAGTGTAAACCTGAAAGTGAAATAGCAGATGACATTAAAGAACAATCTGATGAAGAAATGGTGCGTAATTGATAGCTATTTTCTAAAAGAAAGGCATTGTTTCTACCTTAACTTAATTTTCTTCACCAAATTTGCATTGCTTTTACTTTTAGTAGTTTTTATCACAAAATTTGCATAGTATTCATATATTTTTTATTTATTTATTTTAGCTTCCATCCCCACTTATTGAGTGTAAGCCTATTGAAAGTGCTATAGTAGAAGACATTAAAGAACAATCTGATGAAGAAATGGTACGTAATTGATAGCTTTATTAAATAGTTTAGATATAAAAAAAGACATCAAGCAGGCATTTTCTAAAAGAAAAGCATTGTTTCTACCTAAACTTAATTTTCCTCACTAAATTTGCATTGCTTTTACTTTTGGTAGTTTTTATCACAAAATTTGCATGGTTTTCATATATTTTTTATTTATTTATTTTAGCTCCCATTACCACATATTGAGTGTAAGCCTGAAAGTGTAATAGTAGATGATATTAAAGAACATTCTGATGAAGAAACGGTGCGTAATTGATATCTTTATTAATTAGTTTAGATATAATAAAAGATAACAAGCAAGCATTTTCTAAAAGAAAACATTGTTTCTACCTTAACTTAATTTCCCTCACCAATTTTGCATTGCTTTTACTTTTAATAGTTTTCATCGCAAAATTTGCATAGTATTCATATATCTTTACTTTATTTATTTTAGCTTCCATCCACACTTATTGAGTGTAAGCGTACTGAAAGTGAAATAGTAGATGATATTAAAGAACAATCTGATGAAGAAACGGTGCGTAATTGATAGCTTTAATAATTAGTTTAGATAAAATAAAAGATAACAAGCAAGCATTTTCTAAAAGAAAACATTGTTTCTACCTTAACTTAATTTCCCTCACCAATTTTGCATTGCTTTTATTTTTAATAGTTCTCATCGCAAAATTTGCATAGTATTCATATATCTTTACTTTATTTATTTTAGCTTCCATCCCCACTTATTGAGTGTAAGCCTACTGAAAGTGTAATAGTAGATGATATTAAAGAACAATCTGATGAAGAAATGGTGCGTTGATAGCTTTTATAATTAGTTTAGATATAATAAAAGATAACAAGCAAGCATTTTCTAAAAGAAAACATTGTTTCTACCTTAACTTAATTTCCCTCACCAATTTTGCATTGCTTTTATTTTTAATAGTTCTCATCACAAAATTTGCATAGTATTCATATATTTTTACTTTATTTATTTTAGCTTCCATCCCCACTTATTGAGTGTAAGCCTACTGAAAGTGTAATAGTAGATGATATTAAAGAACAATCTGAAGAAGAAATGGTGCGTTGATAGCTTTTATAATTAGTTTAGATATAATAAAAGATAATAAGCAAGCATTTTCTAAAAGAAAACATTGTTTCTACCTTAACTTAATGTCCCTCACCAATTTTGCTTTGCTTTTACTTTTAATAGTTTTCATCACAAAATTTGCATGGGTGTCATATATTTTAATTTATTTATTTTAGCTCCAATCCCCACAAACTGAGTGTAAGCCTATTGAAAGTGCGATAGTCGATGACATTAAGGAACAATCTGAAGAAGAAATGGTGCGTTGATAGCTTTTATAATTAGTTTAGATATAATAAAAGATAACAAGCAAGCATTTTCTAAAAGAAAACATTGTTTCTACCTTAACTTAATTTCCCTCACCAATTTTGCTTTGCTTTTACTTTTAATAGTTTTCATCACAAAATTTGCATGGGTGTCATATATTTTAATTTATTTATTTTAGCTCCAATCTCCACAAACTGAGTGTAAGCCTACTGAAAGTGCGATAGTCGATGACATTAAGGAACAATCTGATGAAGAAATGGTGCGTTGATAGCTTTATTAATTAGTTTAGATATAATAAAAGATAACAGGCAAGCATTTTCTAAAAGAAAACATTGTTTTTACCTTAACTTAATTTCCCTCACCAATTTTGCATTGCTTTTACTTTTAATAGTTTTTAACACAAAACTTGGATAGTTGTCATATATTTTATTTGCTTATTTTAGCTCATTTTAGCTTATTTTGCTTATTTAAGCTTACTGAAAGTGAAATAGTGGAAGACATTAAAGAACAATCTGATGAAGAGATGGTGCGGGATTGATGGTTTTATTATTAAGTTTAAACGCAATAAGAGATAACAAGCGAACATTCTCTGAAATAAAAGCATTGCCTTTATCTTTAACATAATTTTCATCACAAAATTTGCATAGTCATCATATATTTTTATTTATTTATATATTTTGGCATCATGCCTGCCCATCCATGGAAATTCTATCCAAAAGATGGGGATCATGCCTGTTATTCCTTGGAAATTCAAACCTGAATTTGGGGTAGAGAATAATAAAAATAGATATGATCATGTAAGTGTATGGTTATGAAAAAGTTAAATGAATAACTAACTGAAATTTTCTGGAAAAAGAAATTACGTGCTTTTCTGAAATGATTTTACACTTTGATTTTGGATTAGATTTTAAAATTATATTAGATTCCGTTTAACCTCACCTACTTAAAATTTATTTAAGGTGGGAATGGTCCTACATTACAAAGATTGTAAGAACTATTACGAAAATTTTATATATTTCTTGAACTAATAATAAACAGTTCAAAATTTAAACGTTAACAATTTTACATTCAAATTTATAATTATTTAATTATGTTGTTATTTAACTATGTTAATTATTAATATGTTAATTTTTAAAATTATTTTGCTCTTATACTTAGATTATTAGTACAAGTTTTGAAATTATGATTTACATTGTTCCAATTTCATTCATGAAAAATCCAAGTTTAAATATTTGCATTTCAGTTTTTACCAGAACAGAGACTAAACGGTTATATAAGAATAGGTTTTATATCAAAGGTGTCACTCTTCAGTTCTAGGGACTGAAATCAGTCTCGAGTAAAAAAAATCAGTGGACTAAATTTCATCAATTAATATTTTTCCGTTTGTTTTTTAAATTAAAATCGCCTTTTTTTTCCTTTAAAATTTAGCAAATATCTTCTGTTAAAAATATAATACATTTTAATGAAAGCATTGTTATTTTTCATAATTATTGCTAAATAATCAGGTAATGATGTCACGCCGAAATGAAAAAATGGGAATAATACTACTATTACACAAGTATTCAAAAACATAATAGTTTATTCACAAAATGAGGGTCTATAAACAATGCCTCAGTGCTTGCTTGCTTACACAAAATTTGTACCATTGTTGTGCCTAAATTTGCTTCAGTTTTCATTTGACCCCAATGTTTTTAAATGTTGATCAAAGTTAAAATAAAGTCATTTTTTGAAAAAGTAAATGAATAGAGAAAAACCAAATATAACTGTGAAGCAAAAAATGAGTAGAGATATGAATAGCTTCATGAAAAAATATAGTGGTTTATTATAGTGGTTAGTGGTTACTTTAGTGTGGTTTATTATTCAGTAATTGGTGCAAAAAGATGTATAGGGTTAGCTGTTATTTTTATCTCTGTAGCTGTAAAAAAATTAATTAATAAAATGAGAAAATTTTTTGAAAAATTATATTTTAATACATGTGTCATTATCATAGAAAGGTACATTTTTGCGCCAGTAAGCTATAAATTCGGTAAACAACGTTAAGTCGGGTTAATTTGTCAAAAAATAAGTCCAGTATTAAAATTTGATGCTATGCTATTACGCATTTTTCGTTATATGCGTTAAAAACCTTTTTTTTGTGAATAGTGGTGAGCTAGATCTGAAATTGTTTAAAAATTCAGCTTTGATTAAAGAGAAAACTTTGCTTTATAAATGACATATTCAAGGAGAAACTGCATTAGATATACAATTTGAATAATCCAGTAAATTCGTTAAAAATGGGCGAAATTATCCAATTTAAAATTTATGCTTCATATTTTCAAGATCCCTTATGAATATTTCATAAGTGTAAATGTCTAATGTTTATTATTATTATTTTTTGTGTGAATATTTTTACCACATCTCAGAAAAATTAATTTCGGATGTTTTTTTCCTGTTTTCATTCTCAAATATTTTAGCTAAGCAAGCTAAGAATAGAGAAGAGAAAGACATTAAAAAAAATTTAATAATGAAACGGTGCGTATTTAGCTTAGGAGTCAATGTATTAGTTTTTTTCTATGGTTTCACATAGCTGCCAAATTCTACTAGAAATACTTTTACTAGTGGTCTCACAATCTCTTCTGATAATATGGCATATCTGCCAAACTAGCTAGCAATACTTATGGAAGCGTATGGGATCTAAACGATTTTCTATGAAGTGAAAATTAGAGAGGACAACTTACATCTGCAACGGATTTCACCGGTTTCTTCTTAGTTTTGAACTTTCCGTCAATAATATATATCTTAGAAAACGCACCGAGAATTTCAAATTGTCCCTAAAAATTGAAATTTTTTTTCTAGTCAGGTAATTGTTTGTTTCAGAGATTCAACCGTTATTGCTAAACTTTTAGGAATTCAATTCCAAACTTGAAATTTGCAAAAGTGTAAATTTTTTGATCATAGCAGATTTGATCATTTAATTTGAAAACAAGGAGGTCTTTATTTCTCACGTATTGCTCAGACTACTCTTTTTCTCAAAAATATGCAAATCGCAAACCGCTTTCCCCCTTTAGGTACTTGCATGATATTTAAACGACTCTCCAATTTATATAAACAATTTTCGCTGTGTAATTCCTTCTCACAAATATATTCTGGTATTTAGATTTATGAGTTTAATGTAATAATTTATAGTCAGAGTACTTATGTAAATAATTTTTTTTCCCGTAGACTGAACTGAAGGAAGAGTTAGAGTTTCACAAAAAACAGACTATAACCCTTCATCAAAGCTTGGAAAGAGTTACTCAGGAGTTAAAATCACAAAGGGATATATCTGATGAGTTGTCCAGTGCTTTGAAAATGGAAAGAAAGAAAAATATGTTAGAAGAAGCCCACAGAAAGAATTACCTACAAGAAATAAATAATTTCAAGGAAGTTAGGAATAATATTTTAGAGCTTTTGGCCAGGGAAAACGCTAAGAATATTGACTTTCAAACACTCAGATCTTTGAAAGAAATCAAGCCATCACATATTGAGAAGTTGGAACCTATCACTGTAGAGGATCTAAAAGCAACATTACGAGCAGAAAATATGCAAAATCGTATTTCTGAGTTATCTGCTCGATTCGAAAGTTTGTCAGAGAGCTGCTTGCAGCGAAATCGAAAACACGCTTCAAGAGATTCCGTAAATGAAAAAATTTCATTATTGCAAGCAGAAATTGTCAGCTTAGAGAAGAACCAAGGAACTAACGAGCAGACATTGAACGAACGTATTGCAGAAAAAATACAGAAAGTTAACGTGGAGGGTTTTAATGAGCTATTGCTTGATGATTCCATTCAAAGCTGTGATTTGAAGTCGAGGGGGCACTATATTCACCTGTCGCAAAAGTATGATCAGCAAAAGCAAAAAACTGCAGAAGTTATTGCAGAAAGAGATGCAGCTAAGGAATCGTTAATTTCGTTAGAAAAGGAAGTACGCAATTTAAGCGAACGACACGATACTGAAAAGCAGGCTTTAAATGCAGAGATTGACAAAATGTCTCGTGATATAGAGCGATTGAATCTCGAACTAAGAAAAGAACTTTACATTAAATGTGAGCATAATTCCAATCTTGATGGACTTAAGAAAGAGGTTAAAGATGCATCCAAAACAGTGAGAATATTGAGCGATAAAATCTGCGTGTTGGAAAATGATTTGGACATGGAAAGAAATCGTAGTAAAGAAGACACTGCTCGAATGGAAATAATTCTTCTGGAAAAGGCGAATACTATAAACGTATTGGTGACGAGATTATGCTGTTTGGAGCAGGAAAATCGAACTCTAATCGAAGAGTTACAAAAAACGCATTATTGTAAGCAAATGCTGCAAGAAGAATCTGATAATGTTCTAACGATTCTAAAGAATTTCTCTAACAGGTCTCATTATGAAGGTGAAAGTCTTTGTGGTAACGAAATGGTTAACTCAGAGCCAATGCTCCTTAATGAAGATCATTGCGACCTTGTGAACGCAAATTTCAATGAAATATCTTCATTTGAATTGTCACTGCGTATAAAGTTGGTTACTGAGCTTAAGCGTTTGTTTTATGAGTGTGAAAATATTGCAGCTCTTCAGGGATCCCCTTCTTCGAAAAACCCGGATGATTCTTTCGATGGTAAAGAGTCTCTTAAAGATGCAATAGAATATTTCCAGGACTGTGCAGAAAGCGATAGTGTTTTGCAGAACATTAACATACACGAAATCTCAACTTCTGAATTGTTCTTAATGAGCAATTCTCTTGAGCATGTTGACAGTTTGGAAACTCTTCCCGGTGTTCCGTTGGATTATGCTGAGTCTATGGAAGTTGCAAACATCAGTGAAGGAATTACGGGAAATTATCAAATTGAAGAGAATGTGATCATCACGGAACAGACCGGTGTGGAAGGGCATTCTTAAGGAATTTTATGCCCGGTTGTATAGCATTTAAGCGGACTTTTTACCTTTCGTAGTTTTTCAAAAGTGGAATATAAACTTGAAATTAAATTTAATGTGATACTCATGTAATAAATTTCTTTATATTTCGTGTTCAATCTTTTGAATTGTGCCTTTCTTCACATGTTTGTATTTTTGTTGATTTTTTTATAGCATTTCCTTTATTTGTGATTTTTATTTCAATTTTCATTTCCTCACATTTTTGTCCCTTCCTTTAGTCCTGTTTTAATATTTTTCATTCTAAGAGAATTTTGCTTTCAAATAAATTTTTTTCCTTAAAAATGCACGTGACTTTTGCAATTTACCTTGATATCTTTAAATATGCTTCAATAAAAACACTTATGTTAAACAGAGCTTCTTAAGATTGAAATAATTTGTTTTGGGGCAACTGACAATTCTTCTACTTCAAGAATATTAAAAAAATATTGAATAATCAGGACTCAAAGTTGTCCATAAATGTCTTTAATTAAACATTTCGATTACTGTTCTGAAATTTTATGTGATTTTCCAAATTTTTGTTGAAGTTAACAGGAAGAATAAATATTATTTATCTAAAAAAGAATCAAAGATTATATTATATGCCATGAAACAAAGTAAGTAATAAAATGACAGCTTCACAGCTCGTCAAGTACGATATTAATCTACTTCCAGTGTTAGAGACACTTGATTTGGTGGCATATATACTATAAAGGCGTTCGATGCGGGAGCTCTTATCTCTCATACTTACAGATACCATACTGTTTTTAACTAGAGAATCATTGTATTTTGCTTCTATAATTGCTCACATTAGAAAATCAGCATCCTTAAATTGTTCTTAAGTTTGATGGCAGTTTTTATTTTTTGGGCTACCAGTTCAGATAATGAATGCAACGCAATTCTGATGTTCTTGAATATATTTTGATCAGGTATTATTTCTAAATTACATATTTATTTTAATTAGTAACTTATTTTTTTTACTAAATTTATATATACGTATAACGGTTTATAATATTCTTCATAACGAAAGCTAAAATTAAATATGTTTTTAAGGAAGTTATTTTTCCTTTTAAGGTCAATTTTGATGGGCTTGTTTTAAACCTTTTTTCTCATTTTAGGGCATTTTATGAACATTTTTAGAATATCCTAGCCCTGGCTGTTATCATTACTTTTATTTAGTTTTTAACAAATTGTTGCAATTGTAACTAATGCGCTAATGATCACCTACAATTGTATCAAAGACACTAATGGTCATCTATTGCCAACAAAAGGATTCAGTTCGATTTTTATTCTTTCTGGATTAACGGTCGTTAAGGTATTAAGATTTTTCTGATTGAGTTTGGTCCATCCTATATTAAATATAAAAGTCATCTCAATGCATTAATTTGTACAATCCTGAAGAGTTATTAAATTTTTTTAGAAAAGTTAATGTAAACTAACCAGTGAAGGAACGCTTAAGCTTCGCTTGCCTTTTAAAAAGTCATATTAATTTCAAAATTCGCTATTTTAGTTAAATGACAGTGTCAACATATTTGTTACTAATTGCAAATCATGTAAAAAAAAATTGTAGAGAGCTTACATAATATTGTTTTAAAGTTTTGGAGGCTCAAATAACAAGTAGNTTAGATGTTTCTTTATTTCGCGTCATCACTAATCTCACTCTACTCACTTTTGATTTCCACTTATTTAGACATTCCACTTATTTTGATTCGATTAAAAAAAAACTTTTGAATCAATCATATTATTGTCTATTTTAAATAATTTTAAAATTTTTAATTTTGCTTCATTTTTATAAAAATAATATAAATCAGCCATATTTCCTATAAAAATGGTTTTAACAAAAATGATTTGTTAAAAATGGTTTTATCTAATTCATATGAAATTTTTCTCATTAAAAGTTGGAAATTTCCTATGAATGTAAATTACAAAAAGCAATCAATGAGCAAAAAAGAAAAAAAAATAAGAAAGGAGCACTTGTTCCTTCACTGGTTTTTCATCGTTTGGTGATCCAGTGAATAAGCACCCTCTTATCTCAGTACTTAATTATACTATGATGCTTAAAAAAAATAAAGCGTAACTTCAATAACTATATTTAGAATTCTCTTTTTCACAGTGAGAAAAATAAAACTATTGCATGCAATTAATTCCACTTCACACATATAAAAACAAGCACTCACCTTATCGTTTTTTTCAAAGAAGTACGATGTTGCAGAGATAATAGCAAATTCAAAAAATTTTGCAGAGAAGTCTATTAAACCGGGTAATCCAAAACATTGCTAGTAGACTTCCTATTGTTTGGCAGTAAGCTATTGTTACCAATCAATCTAAAGAAAAACTTTCAAATTCTTATTTTTAAGCAATATATATGAAATGTTCCTTTTCTGGGTAGTGTTCCTTCGTTCTTTCTTTTTCTAATCATTGTAAGTCATGATAGCTCAATCAATGAATAAGTCATTGAACTGTCATAGTGTGAAACTAGATTTTGATCCCTAGTTTCGGGCTGCTTCAGATGGATGGACATACTGGAGTATGGAATATTCCATATGGAATATATAGAATTTATCACGTATCCAACGTAACTGAGTTTTCCAGTAAATTACTGTATTTTTTTTAGTTTCTCCTGGTCTACTGGTTTAATAAAAATTCTCCTGGTTTTTGTATATTTTTGAAAATTCCCTACAAATAAGCAAGTTTCCTAAAAAAAATCCCTATTGGAAGGGAATTTTTGTACATATGATTGCTTGCTTGTATATCTGAGTATTACTAATATATAATGAAGCGAGTCTCATTTATGGAAATGAGTTTGAAATTTTCTTTGTTCTAAAATGTTCAGTTTATTTTTATTCAGAACTCCCTTTCTGAATTAAATAAATAATCTTAATTGTTTCTTACGAATTAAATGTCTATTATTATTCGAAATTATGAGTAAACGTAATTTATAGCTTTTCAAGCATATTTAATGCCAATAATGATCAAAAAATATTGCAGTTTTTCTATTTTGGATGTCTATAAAAATCCCTAAAATTCCCTATGCGTAATATATTTAGTACATTATGCAACAATTTTCATGAAATTTATATTATTTCATAAAATTTACTGAATTTGTTCCTACCTATGTTGGCAGCTATGGATGGGTGTCAACTTGTCTGGGAAGTGAAAGTAGTCTGTGTAAAATGCTGACCACAGTCGCAATCACGACGTTGGTCATTAAGTTCTCAAACTTTAGTTTCCAAGTTCCTCTTGGCGAAACTTAGGATGTTGTGGGAATGTCTCACTTTCTTAAACACATTTGACGAATTAGTATCGTTTTATTGTAATACTATATCTAGCCATGCCTCGACAACAGTGTCACTGTAATTTATTTTCCGTGAAATTAAGACCATGGATTAGAATCCTTCTTGCTGTTGGACTAACAGCAAGAGGTTTAAGTGGTTTTATTCTACATGTAACTTAAAGGCAGTTTAGTTTCTTGAAAAAGTTTTCCACGAAAGCTAGTTTCTCGCGAAAGATCCCTTGTCTCCTAGGTTGAGTTCAGAATTACAAGCCAGTCTAGTTAAATGATAGCCGTGTACCAAAATGTGTGTTAGCTGTTCATCACTGGTTATAAAACGGGTAAACCTCATATATACTAATTAATTCATGTTATGCAGGCTATATGAACAAGGAATAAAAACTATATACTCAAACAAGTGTACAGTGTGATAAAAAAAAACGTTTCACCCTGAATAACTTTTAATCTAATTATCGGATCTTCATGTTCTAAGACTCAATCTAAATGGTTCAAGGGAGTGACCTCAAATATGCGAAATAATTTGTGCAGACGATATTTTAAGTTACTAAATCGGACACAAAAATGTTCTTTCTCTCAATATAAACATGCCTTTTTTTTCTCAGCGTATTCGTATTTCTAACCCTTAGAATATAGGAGGTAACCGTATTCAGAAAAATATGGTCCCCACAGTTTATTCAGGAGAGTTCCAAAGTTGTCCTTAATTTCCTTATTAAAATAAGAAAGTATACTTAACTGTTGCTAGTGTGCCAAATGTTTAATAATTAAATTGAACGTTTCAATAAATATTCTAAAATTTTTATGATTTTCCAACTTTTTTTTTCTTTTTTGAAGTTAACAGGAAGAAAAAGTATTATTCATCTAAAAAAAAATTGAAGAAAGTTTTAAATTCAAAAATTATGCTTGTTATATGTCATGAAAAGGTAAATATCAAAATCTTCATAGCGCATCAAGTACGACATTGATCTTACTTCCATTATTAGAGACGATAACCCTTGCATTGGGGGCATGAAAGCATTCAACGATGGAGAAATATATAACCCTCTACATCCTCGTCATCACTTTATTATACTCTAATATTTTCAACAAGATAATCCTTGTAGTTTGCTACGACTTAAAGATTTTCCATATTTAGACTATTTTCTCTCCCTTTTTTATATAAAAAAATTGCGTAACTCCTAAAAAAAACTGAGATTTTTAAAAAAAATTTTTTTCCTCGCTTGAATCTGGAGAATTAGCATTCCTAAATTGTCCTTAATTTTAGAGGTAATTTTGTTAGAGGCTAGAATTAAGAGGCTTCCTGTCCTACCTTAATGTTAATTTTATTTTTTGCTTATTTTGCCATGGAAACTTTTTAAGCTAATTTAAAAAAAAAAAAAATTTCCCATGACTATAAAATTCGTTTATTCAAGGATAATTCCATGCAAAAAATAAAAGTAAATATTTGTTATTTTATTTAATGTTGGCCGTACTAATTTTGAACTGTAAGGTGTGAAGTTTTTCACATCATTTTAGAGTACGTAATTTAACGTGGGAAAATACAAAATTAGAGTGAAATCGGTCAAATAGTTCCTGAGAAATAAATTTGAAAGAAGTCGTATATGAAAGAAATTTATTTCTCAGAAGCTATTCTACCATTTTTTCTCAAATTTTGTATTTTGACATGTAATATTACGTACTTTAAAATGGTGTAGAAAATTTTAAGCCTAACAATTAAAAAAATTTTCGACTATTATTAATTAAAATAGTAAAAAACAATAAGTATTAACTAAAAGTTATTTTTTGTTTGAGTTACCTTTGAATAAATAAATTTTATAGTTATGTGTACAAGTT